CTGTAACCACTCTGTTTTTGAAGATTAGCTGATTTATTGATGTCCAAATTGTCCAGAAAATCCAAATAAACATAGGCCCCGAAAAGAGACATGTTGGTGGGAGGTTCGTGAGATATTTAGCTTCAGATAGAGCCTTTTAAAAGTTTGGTGCAGTGGTGATAAGTTCTAAGTGTAGAAGTGGATCCATCTCCCATATGCGTTTCGCAAACCGGCAGTGAAGGAATAGATGTGTTGCTGTTTCAAGAAGTCCAACAATGAACACACATGGAGTTACTCATAATGCTCCTTTAACAATTTTCTAGAGGAAAACTCGAATTATGGTGAGAAGAGTCCTCTCCAAATACCATTGTTCCAGTTGCAAGGTTGCTGGGAAGGGAGAGTAGACGGCAGAGTCTCCTTCATTGATAAGCATGTGTAGTAACCCATTTTTGTACTGAATTCACCAATTTATTTATTATTTAAGCATAAAAATTATTTTTGAAATATTTTTCTGTTTTGATGTCATTTGAGTGTTTTGGATATGTAGGTTTTTTCAGATCTAACTCAGACATTGGAAGACTTCTTAGAAGATCAAAATGGATGAGTATGCCACCTCAGATCTTGAATAAAAAGAAAAGGTCAAAAATTGTATAATAAGTCTCCTCGGACCTTGAAAAAAAAATGTTAACATGGTAAATTATGTCTCCTCGAACATTGATAAAAATGATCAATATGATAGTCTATGTATCTTCAGATCATGTGGAAGGCTAAGCCTCTAATTTTATTTATTTTCTTTGAATTTCTACAGTTTATTTTAGCCTTTAATTTATGTATTTAATATTCGTCTTTATTATGTTTATTTTATATGTTACGAGTATGGTTATCATATCAAATTTGGAAAAGTTCAAAACAAAAGCCCTTGATATTGCAATAAATAATTATATGACTTGGATAGTGGGTGTAAAGATGCACTTCAGAGAAAACGAGCTTTTGGAAAACATCGGTATATTGAAAAACTATATTGGATGAGAAAAAAATAAAGTCATGATATTTTTACACCATTCTAATGATGATTTAAGATGACGTGTATCATAAGAAAATATTTAAAAGATCTTTGAGTAATTAAATCCTTGAAATAAAGGATTCACCAAATAGTTGGAGTTGATGTAAATCCTCTGAGAAAACTAAAAAAAAGTGGAACACATGATACTAAACCATCAAGTATGTCCTACTTGAAAATGACGAGGGTGTAGGTGTAATTGAAACCGCTATTATGGTCGTGGAAGAGGATTTCCACGCAAATGAAAGTGGTCGGGTGATAAAAGGCAAACACAAAAAAAGTTTGCTATTGATACGGATGGGTACATATTTATCGTATGCCAAAATATTTAGCCAATCTATATTGAGAATCATAAAGAAAAAGAGAAAAGAAATGAAATAAACTTCATTTCTTATGAGCACGGACCATCTTTTCAGGGCTTGAATAGTCATCTTGATGTTTCAAATTTTCTAAGAATGAGAATGATTTTCCTCAATAAGATTTTGAGATTCATGATGAGATTGATATATATGGCAGATATTGAGTCATCATACATGCCTATTAAGGTAACAAATATATCTCGTTTCTCAAAATAAATAAGTATAGTATCTAGTAATGCAAGAATTATTATTGGCTATAGAAGAGCTTATGATGAAAAGACATGCATAAGAAAAAGATGGCAAAAATAAAAATGGTGGGTAAACCTGAAGTTATCGATATATAGTCATATCTCCAATAACGTTATCTACATTGTTGTGAAATGTTGAAAAATCAGAAGTTCTTCACATATAGCATATTTTAAAGAAAATAAAGGAAACCATCATAAATCATCAAACAAGTTAATTGGATGTGATTGTTTTTAAAAAGACCCCAAAATATCTCACTCTAAAGGATTTGAACATAATTCATCCCAAAATGAAAAACTGAATATGTTATTGGCTCTAGAGTGGGATTCAATGCGAGATTTTAGACATGGAATGTCATCATCTCGAGGGGAAAAATTAAAGAATCCTAGTGAGTGGAACATTAAGGAAATTATGTTCGCACTTGAAAAACAAGAACTTGATAAAGTAAATTCAAGTAAGATGATCTCCATGATCGGATATGAATGCAGTTTTGCATGTAATATATATGTATATAATCCAAAATAGATAAAGTATATGGAATAATTAAAGATATGCTCGCAAGGTTGCTAGAAGCATAAAAGCAGCTAAAGAAATTAGATATGAAAAATGGATTACATAAAAATTATGTAGGATAATCCATTTAAAAAATGACTGCTAAACTTTTTGATGAAATAATGAAACCTCATATGTGAGCTGAAAAATGCTCCAATAATAAAATGTGACCTAATAGGATGATATATGAGTCTATGGCACGCTAGAGACGTGATAGACCACTTTGGTTCCAAAGAATCCTCGAAAATGAGCAAATATATAAATAGAAGATTAATCTCATGATGAGACCAGACCGTTGATTTCGTTAATGTGTAATCATGTACCTGAGTAAATCATCGATGATGATAAATAGATCTTGATTAACCATATCAGTATGAGTGAAAACATGGAACTAAGAGAAAATAGATTGCCGGTAACAAATAAGAAAGCGCGCTATATAAATGAGGATTATGAATCTATCTTTGTGTATGTGTAGAAAGAAATGATTGGCCAAAAATGAAATGAGGCAATCAAGCCGATATAAATCTTGTTAGACAACAAGAAATTTTGAATCAGAAGTCCAAGCATCTAAAAGATATATATTTCTCCAGAGAATAAAATGAAAGATGGGCTTGAGATATGAAAACGGCTTGTTTCAAGGTAACTGGAGAAACATTATAATAGATGCAGTATATTGATATGTCTAGCAGAACATAAACGACTTGAGTTTGATCGTGATATTTAGTAGTCCCTGGAGAATTATTGGTGTTCTCAGGAACGATAAAAATCTAGAAGAGTTAGAACAAGCCATATATAAGCTATCTGGAACTGGTAAATGGTGATATGTTTATGGCACGGTTTGCCGATTGTCATTCTAATGAGGAAGAATTTCCAGCGTTAGGGGGAGGAATTAGATAAATTTCTAAAGAGGTTACATGGTGTACACAATCGTTGTTACACCTTGATTCCCTTCCGAATAAAAGAGAGCTGGAAGTTCATAAAATGGTGCATTTGTATAATTTGGAAAACCAGTTACCAAATGCGTTCACAGATACGAGAAGGGTGGTGAAATCATAAATACCCGCTGAAAATATTCCATCATGTAGATACAATGAATGAACCTAGGGTTCAGTTAAAGAGAGGGATACCGGCGGGTTTTAAAGATAAAAGTCTCCGAAAGAAAAATAAATTAGTTGAACAAAATGAAAAGGTTCTAGATGAACCTGATACTAAGAAATGTCTAAAAGAAGACAGAAAGGAAAAGGTTTTAGAAGAGTCTGATGATCTATACATAAATATTGATTAAGAGTCGGATGATTTACACATAAATATTGATTAAGAGCCGGATGATCTACACATAAATATTTTGGGATGATTTGGAGGCTAGATGATCCATCCATACATATAATATAAGTATTTAAAATTGAGAATTCGGCCAAAAAAAACACGAACTTTGCACGAATTGCCAAAAGAAACCTGAACTTTTGGCCTGGCCAAAAAAAACATAAACTTTTTATTGACTTTCGAATTAATTAACAATGTTTTCGTTGACTTGCCAATTTGGCACGCCGTCAGCAAATTTAACAGAAAAAATTAACGTTGTTAATTGTTGCCGTTAGGATGAGACGACGTCGTTTTCAATTGAAAAGAAACGACGTCGTTTTAAGCGATTTAAAAATAAAAAGCTGTAGACCCCTGGTTTCGAACCCGGGTTGATTGGATCAAGTGGCAAGGAAGTTTACCACTAGGCTAGTGGCACATTAAATGTATCAACTAACACATTTACTTATATTTGGTACTGATTGAATATTAAAAAATTCTATAAAAACTTTAAAAAATCTTTAAAATTTCAAAAAATGAAAAATAAAGAGTTTTTTATAAAACTAATTTTGAAACTAAAATTAAAATAAATTTTTATTTTCTTTAAAAAATCAAAAATCTTCCAAAATTTTAGTTTAAAGAAAAAATAAATTTTATTTTAATTTTAAAATTCATTTTATAAAAAAAATCTTTATTTTTTCATTTTTTTGAAATTTTAAAGACTTTTTAAAGTTTTTATAGATTTTTTTTTATATTCAATCAGTACCAAATATAAGTAAATGTATTAATAGATACATTAAAAGAAAAATAAATTTTTATAAGTTCCCGTCTGATTTTTTAAAGAAAAATAAAATTTTATTTTAATTTTAATATCAAAATTAATTTTATAAAAAAATTATTTCTTTTTCATTTGTTTTGAAATTTTAAAGATTTTTCAAGTTTTTATAGAATTTTTTTAATATTCAATCAGTACCAAATATAAGTAAATGTGTTAGTAGATACATTGAATGTGCCACTAGCCTAGTGGTAAACTTCCGTGCCACTTGATCCAATCAACCCGGGTTCGAATCCAGTGGTCTACCTCTTTTTATTTTCAAATAGCTTAAAACGACGTCGTTTCATCTCAATTGAAAACGACGTCGTTTCATCCTAACAACAACAATTAACGTCCGAGTTAACACCGTCTTAACGGTTCGTTAACGGTGTGTTAAAATGGCAAGTCAATCGTAAGTTTCTTAATAAACTAATAAAGTCAACAAAAGTTCAGGTTTCTTTTGGCCAGACTCGAGTACAGGTTTCTTTTGGCCATTCGTGCAAAGTTGGTGCTTTTTTTGGCCGAATTCTCATTTAAAATTTGGGAGCCAAAGGTCGGCTGTTCACAGGACCGGCCCTGGTAGAAATGTAGTAGAGGATTTAGAAAGTTAAAATGAGTTTGGTAGGAAGGTCAACTATAGAGAACATGTGATATTTTTGGATTTGTTCTATCTCATTTGGTTTCTCAGCTGATGGTTTTTCGACTGTTCAATGTGATTCACCATTGATGGATATAATTAAATATGAAACTTAATTTTTGCAGGGATTGAATTGTGACTTGGTTGAGGAAAAAGGCCAGTCCTAGCATTCACAACATCACTACAGTTGAGGAGGCTGAGCGTGTTTTATCTGATGAACCTAAAGTTGTTCTTGCTTTTCTCAACTCCTAAGTGGTACACATAAACCTTCAGAATCCAATGTGTTTTATCTGCTTTTTGTCTAGCACATATTAGTTTGTGTGCCTTGAAGTTTTAGAATGCAGCATTAACGAGCGTGAATCCTATTCTGACATCATTTTCACCATTTTCAATTTCCTCAGGGATCAGATAGCGAGGAGCTTGCAGCTGCATCCAGACTTGAAGACGATCTCAGTTTCTACCAAACTACAAGCCCTGATATTGCAAAGCTATTTGAAAGAGAAACCCAAGTCAAGCGTCCTGCCTTAGTTTTAGTGAAAAAGGAGGAAGAGAAACTTGCCCGTTTTGGTAAAATACTCGCCAAATATCAAAATATAATTACTTCTTGTTCTTCTCTGCTTATATTTCCTCGTTCTGTCTCTCACTCACTGTCCTACTTTTTTGACAGATGGAAACTTCACTAAGGCGGCTATAACAGAGTTTTTGTCAGGCAACAAGGTTCCGTTGGTCATCAACTTCACCAGGGAAGGCGCATCAATGATCTTCGAAAACTCAGTGAAAAACCAAGTAAAGACCATTCTGTCGTTTTGAATATTCCCCCCCCTCCCCCATGTTCATTACTACAAGCTAACGAGAGTGACACTTTTATTTCTTAAACCTTGACAGCTCCTTCTTTTCGCTACGACAAATGAATCAGAGAAACACCTTCCCACTCTGATGGAGGTGGCAAAGTCCTTCAAGGGAAAGGTACTTTTCTTGGCTCGCCTTAGAGGAGAGAAAAACGCCTAGAGGAGGTGGATGGATGATGACTATAGTTACTTTTCTGTGCTCTCTCGGCAGTTTGTCTTTGTATATGTGCAAATGGACAATGAATATTACGGAGAAGCAGTTTCTGGATTCTTTGGTGTTACCGGTACTGCCCCCAAGGTACTAGACTATTTAGTTGATGAGAAATATATCTAGGCATCAGTTTTTTTTTTGGTTAACAAACCAAGTTTTGCATAATGCAGGTTCTTGTATACACTGGAAATGAAGATATGAGGAAGTTCATTCTTGACGGTGAACTGACCCGTAAACAACATCAAGGTAACTCTACTTTTATTTTTCTGTGAAGTTCTATCGTTTCTTTATGTGGTGAATTATCTTAAAACGACTTCTTTTTCCTGTATAACAGACACTTGCGGAAGATTTCTTAGCAGACAAACTAAAGCCATTTTACAAGTCAGATCCAGTACCTGAGAACGTAAGCCTTACCACATCAGTGACATGCCATATAATACTGATTTCTCACACTAGCTTATATAATCAAACGCAGAATGACGGTGATGTTAAGATCATTGTGGGAAACAACTTTGATGAGATTGTTCTTGACGAGTCAAAGGATGTTCTTCTCGAGGTAATAATCACATTGTAACGTTATGAGTCTTGTTTCCACATCCTAATGCGTGAGTTTTTTTTTTTCATAGATATATGCTCCTTGGTGTGGCTACTGCCAATCGTTTGAGCCTATTTACAACAAGCTTGGAAAGTATCTGAAGGGCATTGACTCGTTAGTTGTAGCTAAGATGGATGGTACCACCAATGAGCATCCTAGAGCAAAGGTAACTAATTAAAATCCATATTTTGAATTTCCTTTTCCTTTTGTCTAAATCTCTTTATTTTCAGGCTGATGCTTTCCCAACCATCCTGTTCTTCCCTGCAGGAAACAAGAGCTTTGATCCGGTTAGCAAAATCAATAAATGAATGTTGTTCTCATAACTTGAATACTGTATATGTAATAACTCTTGTTCTGTCTTGTAAAAACAGATCACTGTGGATGTTGACCGTACAGTAGTGGAGCTCTACAAGTTCTTGAAGAAGCACGCATCAACTCCATTTAAACTTGCTAAACCGGCAACACCTGAACCGGTCAGTACCACCAAGAAGGCGGATGAAAAGAGTGAGGGTGATAATGCCAAGGATGAGTTGTGATGATACTTACAGAATGTGTAACAGACATGATAGAAAATGCATTGTTCCTTTTTAGTGTTTGTGTTTTGTTCTATTCTATGAAATGAAGAATTTTGGTTTCTTCTTTCAGTCCAGATTTGTTTGATAAACGGGAGATGTTTGGCTCTCGAGTGCAATAACCTAAATGATTTTGACCCAAAAAAAAAAAACCTAAATGATAATACATGACTTCATAAATGAAAATGCATGCTTAAGAAAAACGTTAAAACATTTTATTGTGAATTACTGTTAGCAACTTGAAATCTTTTTGGAGCAATCAAGGATTTTTTACAAACTCTAAATTTGATCCAAACAAAATCATTTCATTACACTATCGAGAAAACTTTTTTTATTTATATTTAAGGTGAATTTCATTAAAATTGGAAAAGGTTTATCATAGATTTAACAAGTTAATAACATAACTTTTCATAAGTTTTTTGGGGTCGAACTTGCGATTAAAATGTGTCATAAGTTATAGAGTAATTGCGCTCTATAACCATAAAAAAAAAAAAATAGCTATTTGATTATCACTTTTTGATATTTAGGTAAGTGATTATATATGAAATGAGAATAGAAACTGGTCTTGAAGTTCTATATATTTGCCTATGTTTATAAAAACTACATACAGTATAGCCGCAGGGATGTCATATAGGTAAGTCCTCTGTTCGAAACTACGCTAGGCGTTAGTAGAGCGGCCGGTATGGATCTAACGAGTTAATGAAAAATCGGCGATTATGCGGGGATTAATCGGAGCCTAGTTTTTAAGTATTTACGTGTATATCTTTATATATTTGTAATCAAAGAATAATAAAACACTTCGGCTCAGATGGTAACTAGCAAAATTGTTATTGAAAAGGCCAAAGTTCAAACCACATCTATGCCCATTTAACTTATTTTTCTATTTCTTTTAAATGTAGGGTAAACTTGTAATTTTGCATTGTCTCTTTCCTTCTCACTTCTCTGTAACCTTCACTTCTTTGTAACCTACGGCCGCCTTCACCATTTTTTCCAGTATTTTCACTTGTTTCATCAACTTTTTAGTTATTTTAAATAAAATTTTATAGATCTAAGTTAGATTTGAAAGTTATTAGGTTTAGTTCTATCAAAAGAGTTGGATTGACGGGCCGTCTTTCACTGTTACGCGCACACAGCGGCAATAACTCGTACCTCCGCCTAGAAACCCCGATTTGCTTCATCTCGCTGCAGCCATGCTCCGTTCACCGCCGACGCGGCCGATTAATCGGTAACGCGGCCGCGTTTTCGAACAAAATGGGTAAGTCAAACCAAGTCAGAAACTTATCAAACTTATCAAAAAAGACATGCAGTTTTTAGCTTGCAAATATCAACGTCTAAAAGATTACTAAACCTATGTTTTTCAAATTTTGAAAGTTTCACAGATTTAAGTTGCCAATAATTTTTATTTCTAATCAAAAGGATAATCAACTATTTTTTATGTTTGGTAATAACAATAATTTTCATTTCTAATCAAAAGACTAATCAACATTTCAAGATTCTGGAAAAAAAATCTAGTTTTCAATGCTATATCCGGTTAAAATGCATCAAATTACTGGTTTTCAATGATATATAACTGATTTTTAATTAGTTTGTTTTCAATGCTATATCCAGTTTAAAATGCATCAAATTTCATTTACGGGTTTCAAAGCTATATAACCGGTTTTTAATAATATATCAATCACCGCCTATTTTTATACTCGTCTTCGGTTTCGCAGATTTTATCCCGATTTCTTTTTTGAAAACCAGATATCTTACCTTTACTCTCTTGGGCTACTCTTCCTCTCTTCTCGGTGAAGCGACAAGGTCTCATGGTGTGTGGAACTCTGTAAGACCTGATCCGGCCTTCCAGACCGTGGTCGAAGCCTCGCGTTGCTCAGTCCTCTTCCGGACCAAACCTCTAAATTTTTTGCCCTTTATTTATAATATCGCCTTTTGGCGAGGGCTATCTTAGACCTTAGCTAATGACTACCTTAGTTGTTTCCTAGCTTAAATCATTTCAATAGTTACGCAGCGGAATATCTCTATTAGCAGTTGGTCTAAAACCAATCTAACACTTGTCCGGTCTAATCGTCTATGCATTGGTCAGTTCACTTCACCACCTTGCGGCCTATAGAACGATCCTTAACACGATTCAAGTCATACGAATCTGAGGTTCTATTCCTATAAACCATTCTATCTAGATCTATACAAGTAAATGCTAGATCATACCTTTGCCACATCCACGGAGCTGGTTAGCTCCTCGGTCCTCCATTGTTCCGAACTACTCTTCCTTAGTCACTAGATTATGATCGCTCAATGATCTTACTGAAGGTTCTTATATTGGTTCCTGCATTAAACAGCTCCCCTAGGTACTTACTCATTCAACCAACCATCCCCACAGACTTTAGTAACGCTTGAGAAGTCTTCAACGATAAGAGATATGCATTTGGCCTTTCTTGGCTCATGCATCATTCGACAGCCTTTTAGCCTTATAGGCTAAGACTCCAAGTCCATATCCCGGACTAACAAAGCTCACCAGATTCTAAGTTAATCATCCAACCACCCCGCATGAGTAAGAATTGATGAGTATTCACACTTAACTAATCAGCCATGGAACTATGTCCCAATCAAGCCCGATCAGTCTTCTTCTTACCATCCAATGCAATCATTGAACATGTTAGATCCGACACCTTGATCCATCATCTATGAATCAGATCGTCCATTCTCAACCATGATCAGATCATACACGGTTATCTTGGTATAAAGACATGACCCTAATCTTATTAGTGTTTGACCCTCAAACCATTGCCTATGGTTAATTAACTCAACACTATTCAAGATAGACCATCACCCCTTATATCAAGCATTGACTCAACTAACAACCAATTGCCACTATGTAAGTCCACGCCCTACACAATGCAAGTGGCGTCCTGAATCATTCGTACCCTTTCGGACACGAACCATTCGCACCCTTTTGGACCCGATCCATTCGCACCCTTTCGAACCCGAACCATTCGAACCCTTTCGGACCCAAACCATTCGCACCCTTTTGGACCCGAACCATTTGCACCCTTTCGGACCCGAATCATTTGCACCATTTCGGACCCGAACCATTAGCACCCTTTTGGATCCGACTCATTTGCACCCTTTCGGACCCGAACCATTCGCACTCTTTTGCACCCAAACCATTCGCACCCTTTTTGACCCGAACTGTTCGTACCCTTTCGGTCCCAACACGTTTGCACCCTTTGGTTCACGACCCGTTCACAACCCTTGGGTTATGATACATTTGTACCCGTTGGATCACGACACATTCGTACCTCTGGGATCATAACACGTTCGTACCTCTTGGATTACGGTGTACTCGCGTCCCTTGGATCACGATACACTCGCATCCCTTGGATGACAACCCTTGGTGGCATCCCTTGGATGAAAACCCTTGGTGGCATCCCTTGATGGCACCCCTTGGTGGCATCCTTTGATGGCACCCCTTGGTGACATCCCTTGATGGAACCCCTTGGTGGCATCCCTTGATGGCACCCTTTGGTGGCATCCTTTGATGGCACCCTTTGGTGGCATCCCTTGATGGCACCCTTTGGTGGCATACTTTGATGGTACCCTTTGGTGGCATTCTTTGATGGCACTCTTTGGTGGCATCCCTTGATGGCACGCTTTGGTAGCATCACTTGATGGCACCTTTGTTGGCATCCTTGATAGCACCCTTTGGTGGCATCCTTTGGACCCTTGGTCCTTTGTGTCTATTTCCCTAAGGAATAGGTCTTCCCCTAGGTCCTAATGACTTCTATAAGCCACGGCCTCATATGGCTCAAGCCATACTAACTATGAACCCGGATCGTGCCCTTATGGCTTGGATCTCGGATCCTGCTCTTATGGCTTGGATCCTCGTTTATCATTGGGGGATCTCTTTAGGACGTGTGTCCCTTGTCTAAGACTGAATGATTTAATCTCTGGTCGGTCCTCCTATATATAGGAAACCAAAGGCCATGTCCAAAAGGACACATCTCTTCCAAGCATCTTTTCAGGTCAGATCTTGGCCATCGATTACAATCAACGGTCCAGATCGCATCTGTTGGATCTTGGAAGTTTCCAGACACATCTAGGCACGTCCATCCACTTCTAGACACATCAGACCCAAGCCTAAACTATTTAACCAAGCCCATAGCCAGCCCTGGCCTACTAACCGGCCTGGTAACCCAAACAGTCAGTCCAGCTAAGATGAGCTGATCCCCAGCTGGTCCAGCTGAGTGAGCTGACTCTACTCAGTGTGAGCTGGCCAGAGTTGAGTCTTACCTCGTTCAGCTGATCAAGCTTCTCGAACACTTCACCAAGCTGCCATATTACTCGTCCAGCTTGCTTATCTTCATCTTATTCTCTGTCTAAGTCCTTTGGTCCATTCCTTGACCAAGGCTAAGCTTTCCATGATCTATTCTGATCATTCACTTCATCACAGCTTGTTCATGATCAATTCTCATGATATGGACCAAAGCAGTCTTGTTTCTATTGAACGTCTTGGCCTTATGTCAAGTTTCAGGAACAGAAACATGACAGTTCAGCTGGTGTGAGCTGACCAACGAGTGTGTAGGTAGACCGAGCTGGGCTGAGATTCCCCGAGCTCCCCTGAAGCTAGGTCGAGCTGTCTCTACACCTCGTTCAGCTACCCTTTTACTCGTGTAGCTCCTTTTACTCCATTTCCTTCCTTATTTGGCTAAGTATCAACTCCCTGATGTACTTAACCACGTTTCTAGACCATGATATGCTTGTCTTTAGGTCATATGATCTGACTGGTGCGTCTCCTCGCACCATGGTCTATCCAGACGATCCTAGCCAGGATCGGGGACATGAAAAACTCCACGATGACTCGGCGGTCGTGGTGTCTTTTCGGAATCCTTGGCTACTGGTTAGGCATCAAGACTTAAGGTTTTGTATCGATTATGTAAGGGATGCAGTCGTTGACGTTAAGACCTTGA